ATGGTTATTTGAATGGTTGTTTGGATAGATGGTTGGATGGTTGTTTGAATGGTTGGATGGTTGGATGGATGGTTGTTTGGATGGTTGGATGGTTGTTTGAATGGTTGGTTGGTTGTTTGAATGATTGTTTGGATGGTTGGATGGTTGGATGGAATGGGTGTTTTAATGGCTGGGTGCTTGGTTGGATGGATGGTTTGTGTGTGTGTTGTGTGTTGTGTCTGTGTGCGTGTGCCAGCGGCAGCAGGTAACACTGTTGTGTAGCCGCCGCAGCTACTCAGCACAGATCAATCCTGGCATTAAATGGACTGTGGTCACATTGGCGAACCACGTCAATATGAGCTTCGATCATAATCCCCAGACAGCGCCTCCTGCGGGTTCCTGAGGGTTCATATGAGGCTGACAGCTTACTGCATCATAACAATAATTTAAAGAGTTGGTTTAACTAAAGCACATCCACCAATATTACTTTGTTTTGAACTGAATCACACTGATGGTAATTATACAAAATAATAATAGTACAATAATAGACAATTTGATCATTTCACAATTAAAGTCTAGCGTATTCTAAGTTTACGTTAAGGTTAGTTTTAGATTTAGGTAGTGGTATGATTCAGGTCTCCAAAATAATGTAATTTCAATGTTATGTCCCTTAAAGTCATGGAGACATGACCGTGTGTTTGTGTGATACAATCTACTACTTATCAAAGTGATGTCTTCAATGCAACGCAGTGTCTCGACAGTCTGCTTGTCCTCATTACTTCATGCTACACTCTGACCTTTTAGCCATCCCCGTCTCTTTTTGGTCTCTTTCCCCCAGACCCACTCTGTCCTTTGTCACTCCAGCAGTGTATCTGTACGCGTGTGCGTGTGTGCGTGTGTGTGTGTGTGTGTGTGTGTGTGTGTGTGTGTGTGTGTGTGTGTGTGTAGCAGCTCACAGCTCAGGGACAAGGATCCCCTTCACACTGCTAATTCATCTGTCTGTGTGTCCCCACTCCCACTGCTCAAACACCCACAATCCCCAAACCCCACTCCCTCCTGCAGGAACACACACACACACACACAGAGACACAAAGTTTCCCCCGAAAAAGGCCCCCCTCAAGAAATCTTCACTCACACATACCCCCCACTTCCAAGCAACTCCCCCATCAACACAACCCCCGGACCTGCTTTTGTCCCCAGGGCTTTGTGCACTAATTAACTACAGTTCAGTTCCCAGCAGGCTTGGGTCAACCTCCACTACTGAAACCACTGATGGGTTCTCTGCATCCCAAAAAAGAAAAAAAAAGAAAAGCACAGGCAACGGTGGAGTCATTATACAACATGACATGTGACAGAGCAGGTCCACTGCTGCTGCTGCTGCTGCTGCTCTATTTGTTAAAAATCCCTCATAGTCTGCTTGTTTGTGTGTTTTTAAGAGGCTCCTCAGAGACCAAGAGTGTTTAAGAAAATTACAAATCTTCAAATGGATTCAGCTTCGCCGCAGTCATTAAATTCCCTCAGTATCTTAGAGTACACAGCGCAGGGAAGAATTTCAACGAATTAAAAAAAATCCAGTATTACTGCCATGTTCATTCCTTTTCTCGTTTTGAAATTCTACATTTGACTGATGGGGTATACAGAGTGTCAAGCTTGTTATCTCTTTCTGTGGAGGAAACAAAAAAGATCCTGACAGTGTGTCTTTGAGTGAAAGAGGACCCCCTGCAGCCCTGCATTCAAGTTATCTGCACCTCAGGTGATGCTCCAGCGCAGCCTTTCACCCCGGTCCAGCAGTCAGACGGCAAGATTTACAGATGCTGAGTGTACTGGGATTGTTTGTGCTTCAGCTGTTGCCTCGACAGGTAGAATAAGGGATTGTTGCTCTGGAGACTCTACCCCCATCCTGCTGCAGATGAGAAATCAGCTCTTGGGCTCAGGGGGAGAAATACATATTTTACAGAGCATGGTGAGGAGACGTGAAGAGTCAAGGATGAGGTGGAGGGAATGAAAATGAGCAGTGTGGGACAGCGGTGTTAAGCTGACAAGAAGGGATGACAGAAGATCTCCACAGACCCAGACTGTCTGCTGCAACCTACTTGTGAATAATGGAGTCTGTCCAGTGGACCGCACTGTGTGTATGATTAACATTCATGTGCTCACAGAACTTTGTGTGCATGAGGTATACTTAAGTTAGACTCATGCAGTCATGTTCTATTCATTTATATTCTTTCGCATGTCATTAGAATAAAAATGTTGAGCATGAAAAACAAACCACGACTGTCATTCAGTATTGTTCCGGAGAATTCAATGATTTTCGTCAGAACAGTGTTCACGGTCAAATTTAGTTTCTTATGAATTTCACTTCTCATAATTTAGGGGAAGTTTTAGGGGAAACAGCTGGATATCAACCTTTAGTTTATTCTTGTAACAAGAAGGGTTGTTTAGCTCAATATCTAAGTCTAGTCTTCCACACCTTTTGGAGGTGTACATTGGGTGGTGTAACCGAAGAAACCAACCGCCCACTGCATAAGATTTATGGAGGATTTAAGGATGCCAGCCTCACATCTGTACAGTGAATGTAAAGCTGCAGCTGGTTAGCTGAGCAGAGAGTTACAGCAGCTGTGTGAGCGCCAGAGGAGCTGGCACCAGGATTCAGTTACTTATAGACAGAGTCAAGCTGCTTCACCCACAGACTGAAGATGGACGACAAGATGGAAGTGAAGCCAAAGTGTCTCAATCGCTACCTGGTGACTGATTGCTGTATAAGTTATAAACCCTGCCTCTTCCATGTTAGTGAAAGGGACATGGCTTAGACAAAAAGTCAAAGAATAAATCAAATACATTTTTTGCCATTTCACTTAGGTCTTCAAACTGATGTTTGATTAATTAAAAATGTTTCCAGTATGGTTGGTTTAAATGAGCTATTTGATGCTCACACAAGATCATTGGCGCAGGATGGCAGCTTTTGTATACAGAATATTTTGGTCTAATTTCTGGATAGTGAGAGGAAGTGGAGACGCGTCATCCATCTTTATGTACAGTCTATGGCTTCCAGTCTTTGCTCTAGGAATGCTAGCTGACCGCTGTCTGAAATTAGCCTAATATGGAACTGACAAATATCAGAGCGATATCAGCAAAATTGTATTCTTCTAATAAGGAATTCACTGTTTGTGACAAATATTTCCTGGCCAAGATAACTAGCTTTATATTAACTCTACAGACATAAGAGCTCTATTAATATTCTCATTTCACCGAATATTTCTCAAAATGTACATATACAACTATTAGCGTATGCCATTTATTAGCTTTAGCTTCTGTATATCACATTGGAAATATATTAGCACAACTAAGATGTTCATCAGTCATAGTATTTGTGATTTTTACTGCAGAAACAACAATCCAGAAAACAGTGGGGATAAAGTTCATGGGGGCAACTATGAGTGATAATGAAGAGAAAAAACTTTTCACAACCATTGAGCATATATCTGGGTTTCTGCCGATGTCAGTCTGAGCTCTTCGGTTGCTAACAAGGCCAAAATAAAGAGCTC